GTGAAACTGAATACATGTACTCTTAAGAATTGGTTGCCAAAGTGAATACAACTATCAGGATAGCATTTACCACGGAGGGATTCCGGGGTAATTTGTAGACATTCAGCAGGCAAGATAGCAGACAGAGTAGGATCAGGTGGTTTCTTGTACACAGATTTCTACATCTTTTTGAACGGTATTTCGATGGTGTCTCTCTCCGTCTTCTCTTCTCCTCAAATGAACACTATTTCTCCGCATTTTTCTTAGGCCACAGCGTACTAGTTGCGAATGTTTTGCTTGCGCTATCACTTTTCTCTTCGCCCACAACTTCTCCGTTAGCTCCAGTGGTTGCATCCAAACCATGTCTTTGGATCTGAGTGAGCACAGAGGTTTACTGCCGCAGTCATAATACCTCTTCTGTAGCGCCATGCGTTTCCTTAGCATTGACTGTATGATCATTGATGGCGTAGTTTGCGGCTGTAGTGACTGGTCGCAAATGGGTAGAACTGTGCGTGTGCGTTTGCCAAATAAACTTTGGCTTGAGCTGGTTACCATGTTGGCTGACGGTATGTTCCGTTACTCGAGCTGGGCCATTAGTAGGTTGTTACCATCCGCACCGCATTGTTTGATAAACTTCTTTGCCGTTTCGACTGTACTTCCTGCTTGGCCATTGGACTTACTATGTTAGGGGCTGGTAACGTGGTGCCCAAAACCCCATTGTTCATTGAATTCCAGGAATTCGGTACTACGAAACTGGGGGCCTGAGGTGGTTTTCCGTGTCGTGTGACGTGAACGCGCCGTTCATCAATGGTTTCCACCGATGTGCTGGATCGCAATGAATCAACTTCGAAAAAGTAACTGTAGCAGTCAACAGTTATCAGGTAGGTATTTTTTCCGTGATGAAGAATATCCAGCGTCACCATCTGCAATTGTCTCTCTGGTATTCCACGCATATTCAGCGGTTACTTCGTTGATCGCTGATCAAAATTCATGCAAATTTCTGTACACTGCCGTTCGGTTGCCATATGTTCGGACTCCTGGGGACGTCAGGTACTACATTATACCTCCCACAGGTAGCATCAAAAATTCTCTGGGAGTTTGCAAGCAGTGTATCTCTACAAGTTGGTTCCACGAGCTCAACAAGTAGGGGTCTGACCCTGTGAAATTTCGCTGGTTCCGGGTTCTTCCAGATCCCCACCNCATGTATCCTACTTGTGCTAACGGGTAGAATACCAGCTGCCCGTAGGACATCCTGAACTCTCCGTCTCCATTTCTCGAAGAGCCTTTGATTCTTTTATGAGCGATTCTTCACCGTTCAAGACCGTCTTTTGTCTAAGTCCCGCTACATTTGCCTTTCTTTTCAAGAACTCTAGGTTCGCCTAAGCTTCGCGCAACTGCACTTCCAGGGATTTGAAAGTGCCTGCGCGGTCGTCCTGTGCTCGTTTCCTTTGTATCCCTGATTTAACAACCTGGGGATTTTTCTCTACCCCACGGTGCTTCGGCTGATGACTCGTTCTGGCTTAAAGTCTGAGTTCGGCGTTTTTAGACCAACACCCTTAATCAAAGCCGGAGCATCTACAATCGCTTTTACCATTTTCCGCGGCTGAAACTTCGGCGCTCGTCCTCGCCTTGTCTTGATTGACAGGTGCATCACCCTGCATTGGTACTGGTGCGCGCTGTGCTGAGACTACCTCTGATACTGCCATTACTAGCGCGTTTACGGCCGCTCGAAAGCAATGAGGACAAACCCATTGTAACCCCGCGCTTTGACAATGGAATGTGTAATGTTCTGGTTTTAGGCCAGAGCATTTCTCATGCGCCCACATCGCATTCTGTACCTTTCACGATGCGCTTCCCACAACTAACACTTAGACATGGAAATGCTGATCATGGCATATCAAAAACGAACGATAAAAACGTAATACAAAGACGGGTTATAGCACCTGGAAAACTTCAAAAATCGGTTTACGCAAAATGTCAATACAAATACCAAAAGCTAACACCGTACATGTAATGCGGCCCTTTTAGAGGTCTCAGTAAATATACTAAACACACACCTCGACAAGGTTCCTGTGAGGAAAATGTGCAATATTATGAGATATTCTGCGGAAATACTATCAAAAGGATTTCCAACGAGAGCACTTCAAAATTTCAAACCGCGCGCGAACGTACCGAAGATGAGAGGTGACGTACAGAGGTGTGAGAGGGCGATCGCAGCTCATCAGTGCAAGAATCTGGACGAAACCTGGCCTCAGCCGCTCGTCCTGGGACCCGACCTAGCTTGACCTGACAAGAGAAGGGTACATAACCGGGAAACGCAGTCATCAGCAAACACTCCTTACAGAAACGGGGTGGTCATCATAGAAGATATTATGGAAGAAGAGGAATGG